TTTCCTAATTTGTTACCTCTTTGCTTAAACTACTCACATGTTGCCATCTGTGTAGAGATTTTCATCTCTCTGTATGTTTTGTTTCATTCTGTTCCGCTTATATTAATTTCAGGATATTGTTTACAAACCTTCATAAATAAATGTGACACAGAAATATAATCTTTGAAAATGTAACCCTGAAAACATTGTTGATCTGACAGTTTAGCCTTATTTCTTGTTTTGTACTGCTCTTTTCCCTGAAGCCAGCTTTCTCACTGCACTGGCCTTTTCATTTCTGTTCATGTGTTTCTGATTTTCCGCTCAGCTGTCTTGCCTTTGTTCACTTATGCAAAGTGCACATCAGTTGAGCTGTATGCCATAAGCAGTATACCCTTTACCTCTGGACTATACTTATATCCCTATTCATACTTTGTATTTAAAATTTTAAAATATATATGCATATATCTATAAATGGACCTATAGGTACCTTAGCTTATATGCTATGAAAAGCTGCAGATTTTTATTACAATAATGGCAGATGAAACTAAAATAATTAATTTGCCTTAAATACTCTATGAGATTGTTGTAAGCACAATCACAAAATGCACTGACTGTATTTTCGTCTATATTAAAGTACCATCTGTGTCCTTTCCAAAAGATAGAATGCCTACTTTGGTAATCATCTTTGTCAGATAAACAATGTAGGCTACCTCTGCAGAAAAACTGTTACTCCTTGAGCATGGCCGTACATTAGTTAGGTTTTGTATGCATAAATTAGATAAAAATATATATGACATGTCCATATATGTTTAGCAGTTACAGTTAAAAACAAGGTAGTTATTTTCAAATTATTTAATGGAATTCTGGAGCCCATGAAAAGAGTAGGGCTAGGCCTATTAGAAAATTATATTAGAAAATTAGAAAACTATGAAGCAACATACTTGTAAATATGTTTCAAGTATGTATATGCAAAACAGAAATAAGACCTAGATATCAACATATATTGCTTCCATCAGAATCAATTTTGTGCTGTGAACGGAGATAGCTTTTCCTGCAAAAGAAGAAAATATGAAATGATGTGTGCAACTAAGCCTACAGTGTTGATTGGTAGGGGTGAACAGACCTGTCTTCATGTGACAATGAATAATGCAGATCTAATCAGTGCATTTCACTTACTACGTGGTTAAAGCAGAAATGTAAAAAATTAAAGTCATGTCATGAAAATGGCAGTTTGTAGTTTGTATATTGAAGAAAGTTGAAAACTCCAGGCATTGTTTAACTGAACAAAAATATGTAGACATTTTTGCTTTTTTCCTCTTTTTTTAAAAGAAATACTATTCCTAACCTTTGACATAAGAAACTGATTTTGTAACCGAAACCAGTAAATTACATAGGCCTAAACAACTTGTGGTGGTAGGAGATACAGAAAAGTACGCAGTTTCTTTTTGTGTGTTACTTATTGAATGAGATAGACTAGTGAGTTTCTTTAGGGAGTACTCAGTTATGACTCTCAAAATTTTTCAAAGCAGATACCAGTTGCCTGGATTTCTTCAGTCTGACTTGACTTAAATTGGTGTTGACAGCTTGGACAGACTGAGTTTTGCCTAGCTGTGCTGGAAAACCCAGAGATTTGTTCATCAACACTCTTAAAATGTTTCATTTCTCTTCAAATGAACACTGGGAGAGAAGTCTTAACCTAGAAGATTACTTCCATTTGGATAGTATGCAGCTAAGTCTTCGAGGCTAGACTTTGGTAGAAGCAGTACACTGTGAGATTTTTGCTATCTTTTTAGGTGTATCTGACCTTTGGGTTTGAGGCTTTGTAAAATGACCACTGCTGGTAGCCTTACACATTTGCTCATGTTTTCCAGTCAGTACATCTCACTACACATTCTATCTGTAGGTGATAATTTCCCCTCTTCAGTGATTCTTCTTTTATATTCAGCTTTTATGTTTTTTCTCTTAAAAAAAATCAAGCTTCAGTGTTCTAGCACTTCTTATCATAGAATGGTTTGAGTTGGAAGGGACTTTTAAAGATTGTCTAGTCCAACCCCCCTGTCGTGGGCAGGGGCATCTATTGCTAAATCAGGTTGCTCAAAGCCCCGTCCAGCCTGGGGACGGGGAACTTTTCCAGGGAGGGGACATACACGGTTTCTCTGGGCAACCTGTTGCAGTGTCTCACCACCCTCATCATAAAAAAATTCTTCCTTGTTTCCAATCTAAATCTATCCTCCTTCAATTTAAAACTATTGCTCCTTGTCCTGTCACTACAAGCCCTGGTAAAAAGTCTTTCTGTCTTTCTTATAAGCCCCCTTTAAGTATTGAAAGGCCACTAGAAGGTCTCCCCGGAGCCTTCTCTTTTCCAGGCTGAAAAAGCCCAACTCTCTCAGCCTGTGCTTATAGGAGAGGTGCTCCAGCCCCTGGTCATTTTCGTGGTCCTCCTCTGGACCTGCTCAAGCAGGTCCATGTCTTTCTTATGCTGGGGGCTCCAGAACTGGACACAGTACTGCAGGTAGGGTCTCACCAGAGCGGAGTAGAGGGGGAAGATCACTTCCCTCGACCTGCTAGCCATGGTTCTTGTTATGCAGCCTAGGATATAATTTGCTTTCTGAGCTGCAAGTGCACATTGCTGGCTCATACTGTTTATTTGTCCACCAGTATCCTCAAGTCCTTCTCCGCAGGGCTGTTCTCAATCCATTCATCCCCCAGCCTGTACTGATATTGGGGATTGTCCTGTGCAGGACCTTGCATTTGGCCATGTTGAACTTCATGAGATTCATATGGGCCCACTTTTCAAGCCTGTCATGGTCTCTCTGGATGACAACCCTTCGCACTGTAGTATCAACTGCACCACTCAGCTTTGTCATCCACAGACTTATTGAGGGTGCACTCAATCCCAATCTCTGTGTTATTGATGAAGGTGTTAAATAGTATTGGTCCTATTATAGACCTTTGAGGGACAATGCTCATTACTGGTTTTCACTTGGACATTAAGACATTCCATGCAACCATCCACTCTTTGAATGTGGCCATCCAGCCAAGTCCTTATTGATCTAATAGTTCATCCATCAAACCTGTATCTCTCCAGTTTAGCAGCAAGAACTTTGTGGAGGACTTACAGAAGTCCAGGTAGGTGACATCGGTAGTTCTTCCCTTGTCCACTGATGGAGTCACTCCACTGTTAGTGAAGGCCACTTGATTAGTCAGGCATCATTTGCCCTTAGTGAAGCCATGTTGGCTATCTCCAGTCACCTCCCTGCCTTCCATATGTTTCAACATCACTTCCAGATGTCTCTGTTCTATGGTCTAATTGGGCACTGAGGTGAGGCTGACTGGTTGGTAATTCCCAGGGTCTTCCTTTTTACCCTTTTTAAAAAAGGGTGTAATATTCCTTTCCCTCCAGGTACTGGGGACTTTCCCTGACTGCCATGACTTTTCAGATATGATGGAGAGTGGCTTAGCAACTGTATCAGCCAATTCCCTCAGGACTCTGGGATGCATCTCGTTGGGTCCCATGGACTTAGGTATGTTCAGGTTCCTCAGATGGTCTTGAACCTGATCTTCTCTTACAGTGGGAGGGACTTCATTCCCCCAGTCCCTGCCTTCAAGTTCAGGGACCTGAGAAATGTGGGAAGAGTAATTACCAGTGAAAACTGCATAAAAAAATTTGCTGCATACCTCAGCCTTCTCCATGTCAGTTGTCACTTGTTTTCCTATCTCATTTATGGGGGCAGAGAGAGGGATGGAGGAGCAGGTACATTTTCAATATTCCTTTTCTTGACCAACATACTTGTAGAATCATAGAATCACAGAATGGTTTGGGTTGGAAGGAACCTTAAAGATCATCTAGTTGCAACCCCCCTGCCATGGCAGGGACACCTCCCACCAGACCAGGTTGCTCAAGGCTCCATCCAACCTGGCCTTGAACACTGCCAGGGAGGGGGCATCCACAGCTTCCTTA